AGAGCAGCTTCGCTGTCCCACAGAGACAGGGGCGGGGAGAGAGAGAGAACAGCTTCGCTGTCCCACAGAGACAGGGGGAGAGAGAGAGAACAGCTTCGCTGTCCCACAGAGACAGGAGGGGAGAGAGAGAGCAGCTTTGCTGTCCCACAGAGACAGGGGGAGAGAGAGAGAGAGCAGCTGCGTAAATCTACAAGAGATGTGGGAAGTGTTGCACGCTTTAGGGGCTGAATTGGTTTAGAGATAATATTGTTTTGTAGTAAAAGCCATTGTAACTTGTTTCCTAATAAAGTTTGGTCTGTTTTGGATTTGTACCAGTTTGTGTTGACGGTGAATTACCGCTTCAGCTTTGTGGGACACCTGGGCAAATTCACTCCTAACATTCTGGCTGGAGTTGTCGAACTTGTTCTAAAGATGAATGAAACAATAATTCTCCATATTATTCCCCACTCTGCACTGCCCCCCCACTCACCACACCCCCTCACACTTGGGACCGATGCTGTTGATGATGAGATGGCAGTGAGGCCGGAAGAAGGTCTGTAATGTCATCAGGGGCAGGCGCTGACCTTAAATTCATCTTCCAGCCTGTACCCTACAGCTGCTGACTGCCCTGTGAACACAATAAATATCAGGTTCATAACAAAGCTGAGTACAGAGAAGAACTGAGAAAGGAAATGAAGGGTAGAGTATAAGAATAGATTAGTGATTAACAGAAAAGGGAAGCCAAGATTCTTTTCTAAATATATAAATAGTAAAGAGTTGTTAAAGGAAGGGTGAGGTCAAATAAACATTCTTGTACAGGCAGAGGGCATGGCTGAGCTAATTAAAAAATACTTTCTCTCCCTCCCTCCTGAAGATGGTCATTTGGTGATGTCACTGGCCTGGTATCCCAGAGGCCTGGGGGAGATTAGTTCAAATCCCACCACCGCAGTTAAGGGAATTTAAATTAAATGTATAAAAATTAAACACAAGACCCAGTTTCAGTGACGATGACCGTGAAGACATTGTCAATTGTCTGTCTGGGTGAAGGAAAGCCTTGACCAGCTCTGTTGTTGAGGCTGACTCTGAAATGGCCCAACGTGGGACTCAGGTCCAGGTCTGAGAGTGCAACAGGTGCTGACCCAGCCCCGGTGAAAGGACAGGATCCTGTGGTTATGCCAATCGCGTTGGATAGGATCAGAATAAAGATTCATGAGACTGTCAGTGTTTGAGACAAGTTCCCTGGAGAAAAGAGGCATAGATAGAGTGGGTAGTCAGAGACTTTTTCGCAGGGTGGAGATGACTATTACGAGGGGGCATAATTTTAAGGTGATTGGAGGAAGGTATAGGGGAGATGTCAGAGGTAGGTTCTTCACACAGAGAGTGGTGGGTGTGTGGAATGCGCTGCCGGCAGTGGTAGTGGAGTCAGATACTTTAGAGACTTTTAAGCGACTCTTGGATAGGCACATGGAGGATAGTAAAATGTAAGGTATACAGGGTAGATTGATCTTAGAGTAGGATAATAATTCGGCACAACATTGTGGGCCGAAGGGCCTGTACTGTGCTGTACTGTTCTATGTTCTTAAAAGTGAGGGTAGAAATTATGGAAGCTCTGAGCATAATCTTTCAGTCCTTCTCTACTGGAGGCTACAGAGGAAAGCCCCAGAAATGACAGAGAAGTCTGTCTGATGTTCATCCGGGAGGCGGGGCGGCAATCTTTAGAAAAGGAGTCATCCAGGGGCAGCGTTTCCTCCCAAGATTTATCTAATCTGTGCAGTGAAAACACGTTGAGAGGTCAAAGACTTTCCTGGATTGACAGTTGGAGGCTACAATGTGAATGGAGTGAGCTGATGACACATTGTGTCCCTGAAGAGATACCTGGGAAGTGAAGATCTCACCAGAAGCAGAATAAGTTTTCTTACCGAGGAAGTATGCCAGCAATAAATGGAAAGTGCAACCAAGAAATAAGACAAGTTCGAATTGGCCAGACACATTGAACAGAGTTGGGGAGATTATGATCAAGACGAGATTAGTCATGAGATTGCACCTGTGTGTGCTGGACTGCTGCATCACATTAATCTCGCCATTCAGAGGCGAGTGTTGGCCAACCAGTGAAGCAGAGCAGAGAAGCATCAAAGTTGCAGAGTTTTACAGACAAGTCACGCATCCAATGTCAAGATGCGATCAGAGCAAGAGATCGAAAGAACTCTGCAGTCTGATGCTGAAGAGCTAATTGGAATTTCCTGGGGACTGTAATGAGAGCATACGGTTTAGAGACTCTGATGCTGCTTCCCCAGGAGATCGAGACAGACAAAGAACAACTTCTGACAAGAGCTTTACAAACCAGATGAAGAGATCACCAACGAGGCTTCTCCAGCTCTCTGCAGCAAGATTCACATGTGGGGACTACCTCAGGGCACTGAACAGAGACACCTGTGACAACATTAATTGGCATTTGAAAGAATCAATGTTAGTAAAAGAAAATTGTCCGCTATTTATTGAAGGCATGAGTTTGAAAGGCTGCTAGAGGTTAGGAATCCATTAAAAAGACAACACCAGATTACTGGCTTTATAAAGGACTGACAAAATTCATAAACAAGGACATTATTCTAATTTTTATAAATGATTCATTAGATTCTAGCTTGAAGTTTGTGTCCAGTTCTAGGCGCCGAACTTTGAGATGTCAAGGCTTTGGAGAGGGTACAGAGAGGATCTGCTAGAATGGCGTCAGGAATGAGGGGACTCAGTGATGAGTTTTAATGCAGGAACTGTTCCCAGTGACAGAAAGATCAAGAACCAAAGGACACAGCTTTGAGAGAAATTAGCAAAAGAACCAGAGTTTTGAGTTTGAGTTTTATTATTGTTACATGTACCAAGATACAGTGAAAAGTGGTGTTTTGCATGTTATCCAGGCAGATTGTATCGTACAAAGTGCATCAGGGTGGCAGAACAGAGTGCAGAATACAGTGTTACAGCTGCAGGGAAGATGGAGAGATCAGAATTAACATTTGAGAGGTCCATTCAAAAACAGATGGGAAGAAGATTTTCTTGAAACTCTTTGTACGTGTATTCAAACTTTTATATCTTCTGCCTGATGGAAGAAGGTGGAAGAGAGTATAACTGGGGTGGGAGAGGTCTGTGATTATGCTGGTTGCTTTCCTAAGGGAGCGGGAAGTGTTGATGGAGTCAATGGATGGAAGGCTGGTTTGTGTGATGGGCTGGGCTGTGTTTATAACTCACTGTAGTTTCTTGTGGTCTTGGGCAGAGCAGTTGCTAAACCACACTGTGATGCATCCAGACAGGATGCTTTCTAAGGTGCACTTGTAAAAGTTGGTCAGAGTCATTGTGGGCATGCTGAGGAAATATAAAAATTGGTAAGAGCTGTGGGCATGCTGAGGAAATATAAAAATTGGTAAGATTTGTGGGCATGCTGAGGAAATATTTTTAATGCAGTGAGTTGTGATGTAACAACCCAGAAAGGGTGGTGCAGGCAGATTCCATATCCATTTTCAAAATGGAATTAGATAAATACTGGAAAAGAAAAATTTGCAGGATTTTACACAACTCTTTCCAAAGAGGTAGTATTGGACCAATGGGCTGATTGGCATCTTTCTCTATCGTATGATTGTATGATAACGCAAGTAAACAGTTTGCAATTTGTATTTTTTAGATATTGCAATATCTAGGCCATCAAAAAAGACTTTCTTTCTTACAGTCTGGCTTCCGGCTGCTCTATTTCCCTGTGTTTGGTCAGGTGTCACATGCTGTTTACTCACTGCTCAGCACCAGCTGAAATAGACCCTCCTTGTCAATGTGGGGGCAGAGGGGGAGGGCCATGTGACCTCAACTCTTACAGAAAGCAACAACATCTCATACACAGCTGAGGCCAAAAGAAGCTTATAATTTCCGAGTGATTGATAAAATGCTTAACTCTTTTACACACTCTGTGCAATGTCAATCAGTGACAGATCTTGCCACAGAGTCTCAGGGTAACGTCTCACACACTGACTTGGCTCAAGTCTCCCTGCAGTAGGGACATTTCTGATCAGTTGCTGATGCTAATGGCAGCACAGAGCCCCTCAGGGATCCATCTCCAGGCAGCTCAGTCTGTGAGGGCCACACCCTGGACGGCACTGAGGACAACAAAATTCATTATAAAGACTGTCAGCCTCCACAAAGTAACAGAGTTACCAATTTCACAATGGGGTTACCGACTGTCTATAAATGATCGCATAGCACAGGAAGAACGATAAACAGGCTTGGATTTATCTAACACCTTTCACAATGTCAGGATACTTTACAGTGAACTGACTGATTTTGTTAAAGTGTAGTCACTGTTGTCCTGGAGGATGTAGATGCCACTTTGTGCATATCCAAGTTACCTCCGACAGTGCGGCACTCCCTCAGTACTGACCCTCCGACAGTGCGGCACTCCCTCAGCACTGACCCTCCGACATTGCGGCACTCCCTCAGCACTGACCCTCCGACAGTGCAGCACTCCCTCAGCACTAACCCTCCGACAGTGCCTCTGGGAGTGAACTAAAGAATTAAATGTTAATTTGGGACAAGATGGTTTGGATGTGCCTCCCTCTGTTCTTCCTGTGGTGATGATTGTACCACAGTTATGTGAAAAAACGTTCTGTCTGGGAAGAATAATCCCATTTAAAGGACTTCCGTTACCAGCTGAAAGCGGCTATTCACTGGCTAGGTATGTGCTGTAATGAGCTCAGCGCATAGTTATGCAGCAAAACAGTTTATTCAGTGAGTGGTTGCTCCTGACAGTGAACTGTGTTGCTGTAGTCAGTCTCCTGGATCCCATGGGCCTCTGGGAGTACGTCTGTCCAAAATGTGGGATTGTACAATGAGGGACACAAGCCACACGGAATGCTGTCCTTTGACCCTTCTCCAAAACCTGAACGGGCAGCTTTATCCTGTGAGCCTGGGCTGTTCCAGTTCTGAAGGTCGCTCTGTCTTACTGCAGCTTTTTATCGTTATCCACT